CAAGCACCTCTATTGCTTCACCTTTGAGAGAAGTGATGGGTTTTGAGAACTATAACAACCCTATGTTGCACATACAATCCTAATGATTTGGATCTAAGTTTTCTTAAGTTATCCATGCAATTTCATTTTATCCAAAGCATATACGCTAGCTAGGATGCAATTGGAGATATATAACATAAAAACTAGTTAGATGAATACCTCTTATTTGTAGCTTGTAGTTCTTGGCCTTTCAAGAGCTTAATGCCTCTAGTGTGATACATCTAATAAGTTACAAACACCAAAAGCAAATGAATGCTTGTAAAAGAGAGGTTAGGAAGCACAAATCGGCTAGGGTTTCACCTTGGAACTCTTATGTCCGACTTTAGTGATGCTAGGGGTTTCTCTTATAGTGTGGAATTCCTAGGGTTTCTTCCATGCAAACCTAATTCACCATGACTCTTCACATTTGGTAGGCCCTTTTGACTAAACCTTCATGGACTCTCATATATGTTTAGTCCATCCCTAACCAACATGGATCATTGTCCCAAACTATAAGCATTAATGATTTACCTAATCAGTCCCCGTAAATTTAATCAGTCTCTTGTGATCACTAAATTAATTCCAAATTAATTATTGACCAATACAAATTAAATAATATGATTTCTCAATTAATATATTATTCATATAATATATTAATAAATCATAAATAACCTCTTTCTCACATATCAATCCTATTAAATTGCTCCGGTGAAGGCAACCCAAAAGGACCATTCTACTATCGGGTCAAATACATACCAATTATAGTTATGGGCTTAGACACCTAATCCAACAGTCTCCCACTTGGATAAGTCTAATAACTATAACTACCAATGCAACTTCAAAATCCGATTAGCAATCGTAGCTCTCAAAAGCCGTTGTCAAACTCTGTACTAGTCAATGACGCGTCCTTTAGATAAGGGATCATATAATCCTTTGTTCTTCAAGATATCGTGTGGACAAAGACATGGAATAAAGTCATACTCATTGTCCAACAGTTTGTTTCCCGATTTCTGATTTGTTTGACATAGAACTTAATTGAACACATCAATTCAGTCTTGACCGAGCCCGACGCATAAGTCAAAACAAATTCATCAAGGGGCCCAAGATATCGCTTTTAATCCTTTTAGGATAAAAGGAACAAATAAACTTCAACTTATATGCTTGTACTAATTAATTGTTAAATTATACACAACAACAGTTTTTATAAAATCAAGTTAATGATGCGTTTTCGTACTGTCATTGCACAACCAACTCGTAGTCAATAACTCATATATCTTTGTTTGAAGACTATACAATATTATCGTCTCACAATCACCCGTGATAAATTCCATGAAGTGATTCATGTGAGCGTGGGTTTAATCTAATACTCAAATCTTATTTCAATAGGACTCATGAACGTTGTAGCAAACTTTTGCTATATCTAAACACTTTAGACAATCTACAAGCCAATTTACGACAGTCAAACCTCATATCTTACTTCCAAAGTATGATTGGCTGTGGACAATTCGAATAATTGTATTATTCTGGAAGTCAAAACATGAAAAAGTGAAACATAAAATAAATAATTGACAGAAGACACTAAAACCATGTTGAAGTTTATGGAATTTCATTATGGCTAGTAGTATAAATTTATTTACATTACATTTGTTACACGAGCATCTGATTTGACCTTTGTTTTTGACATGTGGTTTGGACCTCTCAAGAAAAGATTCAAGTTCTTGTTGGAACAAGGTAGAGTTACAGTTTTCAATATTAGTCAAGGTTTTATCAATAGACATGTTGCAACTAAAACATAAGTTAGGTTTTAGTGTTTACTCTATAAGAGCTAAAATTAGGACTGAATATTTATAAGGATAGAGTAACCGCTCTATCAAATGGAATAGAAAACCGGACAACGGAAAAGTATTCATAATGGTAGGCTTCTAATCCAAATTTTTGAATAACTTACAACATATGCACATGTGTATTACATGATTGACCGTTTAAGAAAATTTTGGCATCATTTCCCCTTAGCTTCTAAGTATATATAAAATTATATACCTGAGGATCAAAGATAAAATAACAACCAAATATTTCTTAAACAATCAATTATGTATTACACACTCACATCCTAAATGAGGTAATGTGTTCAAAAAACAGTCCCAAAATGGGGACAGCCCGAAATTAATTTCTAAATCAATTTCGGGCGGGTATTTCTAGGCTTTTGATGATTTCAAAAGAAGAGACTTCAACTAAAAAGACTTCAACTAAAAAGACTTACTTTTTATTATAGCATTGTACTTTAAATAATCCAGTTATTAAATTATAACTTCATAGATTTACGTATTAATTTTTCATTTTTATTTTTTTATTATAGCATTATACTTTATATGATAGTATATATTTGTTATTTATATCATCATCATCTTTTTTTTTTTTTTTTTTTTTTTTTTTTTTTTCATATTTTGATTTTTAATATCAACTTATTTTTTATTTATTTTTCTATTATGACTAAATTATAACTTAATAGATTTAACGTCTTAATTTTTCATTTTTATACTTTTGTATAGCATTGTACTTTAAACGATAATATATATTTGTTATTTATATCATCTTTTTTTTTTTTTTTTTTTTTTTTTTTTTTTTTTTTTTTTAATGTGAGTAAATTATAACTTAGTAGATTTAGTGTGTTAATTTTTTTATTTTTATTTTTATTATAACATTCTACTTTAAACGATAGTATGTATTTGATATGTATATCATCTTTTTTTTTTTTTTTTTTTTTTTTCCATATTTTGATTTTAATATCAACTTTTTTTTTTATTATGATTAAATTATAACTTAGTAGATTTAGCGTTTTAATCATATTTTTTTTATTATAGCACTGTACTTTAAAGGATGTTATATATTTGTTATTTGTAACATTTTTTTTCCATATTTTGATTTTTAATATCAACTTATTTTTATTCTTATTTTTCTATTATAACATTATACCTTTTCGTATTTATTTTTATTTATATTATCCTAATTATTATGTTTTTAATTATAGTATAATATTTTAAAAAGACATTGTAAATTATAACATATATATATATATATATATATATATATATATATATATATATATATATATATATATCAATTATAACATCCTATCATAACATACATTATACACACATATACATACAATATACACATATTCTTCCATAACATACAATATACACACATACAAATGCACTTATACACATTTTTTTCACATATATTTTTTCATACATACAAATACATTTCATATAGAAATACATATATACATTTCACATACAAACACCTACATTTTCACATAAAAATGCTTAAATACATACATTTTCACATACATTTTTTCATATATATACACACATACATACATTTCACATAGAAGTACATTTATATACACATTTTCACATACATTTTTTCATACATGCACATACAAATACATTTTTTCATGCATATTCACACATACACATTTTTACATATATTTCATTTAGATTTCACATACCAAAATATATACATTTCACATACATTTCATATACATTAAGAACAAAAAAAAGAAAAAAAGGATATGATGTCGCCGAAAAATACAAAATTGAAGCTGGTGGTGACAACGGTTGTGCTATGATGGTATCACCGGAGATTACCTTAAAAGCACCAAAATAAAGAAATTAGGATTAAATATTGGTAAGAAGACAAGAGAAAAAGAGAAGGGAAGAGAAAACGCAAGTTATCGGAAACTCGGGATTCACCGGAAAACCCGAAAATCATAGGAAAATGAGGGCCTAGAAGCAATCTAGGGTTAGTGGTGGTTTGTGTTGGTGTACTACGCCGGATAATCGCACCAAAAACGTTGGTCGTCAGAATTTTACGAGAAGTAGGAGACAATGTAGGAATTGGGTCGTCTAGGACGAATGGGGATCAAAAGGGCGTTACCTTTAGCGACGACATCAAGGCAATATCGGCGACAAGTTGGAGGAAAAAACACGCTCCATTCTGTCGTGATTATTAGATGTCCGATTCAAAAATAATTGAACGATCACGATGACACGCGGATCACCTTTAATAGCGGCGACCTGTCATTGCAATTGGTGTCTCCGCTACTACCTCTCATGAGATGAAACCCTAACCAATAGATCAGTATAGCAGCTTACGGTCACGATTAAATAGCGTGTGACACAAGAGGATTGCCGGTGGAATCCCTTTAACGACGACCTCTATAGCGATGACAATAACTTTTAGCAGATGTCACCGCTAAAGGGATTATTTCTTGTAGTGCAACTTTTAATTTAATTATGAAATGTTTGTGTTTTAGAAAATAAAATTTATTTGATATTAATTGTTTGTGGTTTAAAAAATAAAATTTATTTAATATTAATTGTTTGTGTTTTAAAAAAATATAATTTTATTAATTTTGAAAAAGAAAAAAAAAAGAAGTGTTATGATTGTTAGCTTTCCTATGAAATGCTAAGATTTATGTGATAAAAGAGAAAATATGACCGCAGCATGCAAAAAAAAAAAAAAAAAAATTATAACAAAATGCATGCTAAGATTTAGGTGATAAAAAATTGATATAGCCCCCCAAAAAAATATATATAACAAAATAAATAAATTTCATTGAAATCAACGAAAATGAGATTTGTGGATTGTGAGGTTCAGTTCACACGTCAAACGTTCAAATCCAACTTTGATTTCGAAATTTATTTTTATTGATGATACATTAACCAAGCGACAACATATTTACCGAAATAACTCATAATCAGAGTTTTTTATTTTTCCAGAAAATGAAAAGTTAGTTTTATCAATCCTCATGCTCGATTTTAATCCCTTTAATGGAAACTTCACCACCTTTGTTTTTCGGCACCAATGTCACCAACACGTTGTCATCATCTTCAGCTCCCAAATCCTCCAAAAGCTCACTTATTCCTAACCTCAATCTTGTCTTTACATTCTTTCCATGCTTATGCTTATGAGGGACATTAACAAAAACTTCCGGCGAACTCCGTCTTATCAGCCGTGGCCCTCATCCCGTCATCTTCATCGTTCACAAACACATCAAACTTCGCAAACTCATCTCTCTTCACTTCAATTCCTTCTATCACCAAAATTTCTTCTTCATCCTCTTTCTGTTTCTTGCTCCTGGATTTCTTCGGCCTTGGAACCAGCACTTTTATCACCTTATCAAGACTCGCCGGAAAAACATCTTTTGCAAAGGGTATGTGTTCATCGGCTCGAGCTACAACGAGCTTCTTGATCTTGCTCAAAGCCCTTTTCAGACGTGGTTCGGGTTTGCTTTTTAGCCATGGGTATCTCTACATCTTGATAAACGTACCCAAGCTTCTTGGAGTCGAGACAATCCCTCACCTTGACTCGAACCATTTCAGCGTTCTCATCGTAGAACAAGAACGAAGAATCAAGCCAGTCTTTATCTGTAAAATCATTCCTTCTTCCTCCTAGAGTTTTCCAAACTGACCACATTCTGTCGACATTTGAATGATGTGCATAGAAAATAGGGTCTCTGGCTGCAGAATAAAAGTTACCCATGTCTTCACCATTTTGCTGGTTCCTATCTCCGGTCCAGATATGAACCGGGCCATGTGGTATGCTCTCCAGCGAGCCAGCGCCAGGGCTAGCCTCATCACCTGCACGATAAGGACTACCCATGAAAAGACTAGCAGTCTTGGAACTAGACACCATTTGTCGATACATAATTGTGAGATTTGTGGAGGTTTGTTTCGATCGGCTAAGATTTTCATCGTCACCATTGTAGTCAAGATCAATCAAAGACGGTGGTTGATGCTTCGCATCACGAAGAGCATCGTACAACGGAGATTTCTTATTCGTGTATATATCAGGGATCTTCATGCCATCAGGTGCATCCCAGTTCCAAAAAGGGATTGCGAAATTTGGATCATTGATTAATTTGCCACAAATTTTCTCGAAGAAGTATAAGTAATAGCGGTGGAAAGGTAAGAACAACCATGAGCCATGGACTTGAAGCTCAAGATCAGGGAAACCGACTTGATCGTATGCCCCATCGCAATACGCACAATGAACAGCAGCTTGTTGCTTGAAACTACGAGGATCGTCATCTGGGAGTGCTTTCATGAGCTCGATGGCTTTATTGAACTTGGCTATGTAATCTTTATTAGCCAAATGAGCTGCCGGACGGACTCGGAAGGTGTTTGACGGTGGTGGAAGTTTGAAATCGAGAATCTTTGTGGTGTATGGAGGGCAACAGTTTGTAGGTACAGCCCCTTGGGGTAAGTCAGCTGGACCACATTTTGTGAGGTCCGGTGCCATAATCGGAGCTGCATACGCCAGTGAGTTTGACCCAAAAGTGGTGGCGGCGCCGTAAAGACCTCCGAGACCTAATAAGATGTTTCTCCTATCAAATTTGCCGGAGTTTTCATGGTGATGGTCATCATCATCTTGGGCGCCTTTGCATGAAACTGCATGGCGATGGTTCGTGATTCGTGCTATGGGAACTTGAGATGATTTGAAAGAGAAGGAAGAAGAGTACGTGGAGGAGGAGGAGAAGCACCGTCCACCGGTGGTGGTGGTGGTGGTTGGTGATGGTGCAAGAGATGCCATATATTTTGAGCGTGCAGATATTGTGAAGAGTTGTATGTTTATATAATGCCTTGGTCCTAGACCTTTTCAAAGGCAGCGCGCTAGATCTGCGTATTTATCAAAGTTGACAAACATAAAAAAGTGCTACAATCACATGGAAAGAAGTAATTTATATACATATTTTAATTGTAATTAAAAAGTTTTAATACGAACTGGAATAAAATATGGCAATTAATCATAAAATTTTACGAAAACTTCATAAAAGTAATTAAAGATATTATTTCTTTTATTTAAAGGATATTTTCGATTTATTGAATTAAAGCGGTATTTTTTTTGTGTGTATTCTTTTATCGTGCTAGTTTTAGATTTCTTCATTTTCTCTATATATTTCTAGATAAAATGATTTACCACTTCAATGAAGTTTTAAAATAAAAAAAAAAAAAATATCAATCATGTTTTGTATGTTCAAAAAAGCCTAATGAATCTAATTTTTGTCTAAAAAAATTCAACGAAGTTATATTTTTATTCAATTCTATGGAAATCAAATAAGAGACACAGATTATTACCATGTCAGGAAAATGACTACTAAGACCAATAACGTTTTCAAACCATTCAAACCCAAATCATCTTTTCTATTCAATAAGATCCAACCAACTTAACCTTTTGAATAAACAAAACATGATCAAAGTTTTTTAAATGGTTTGAAAACTTCGTTGGATGTGTGAGTCATTTTCCCAAAAAATATCTCTAAATGTAATATCCATATTTTATTTATTTATTTATGAAAGCATACTAAAGCAAGAGACATATTATTTTATTAAAGAATTATTAATATTAATATCTATACTTATATATATATATATATATATATATATATATATATATTATATATATATATATATATATATATATTATATTATCATACGTAACATTTTTTCTTGAATCTCATTCAGTTGAAACTTTATTTTTTTAACTTCTTTAGACCACATTCATTCGGAATCCCCTTTTTTTTAACTAATGCAACTCAAAAGTTTTCTTAATTATGATTTAACATTTAAAAGTTTTATAACTTATATTATATTTAATTAACATTCAGTGGAAAATTTCTTATAAAAAGACTAATCTTTTGGGAAGACATGCATAAAAATCATATACAAATTTCAGAAATAGAACAAACTTAAAAGTTTTTGTATTGGGTTGAGGTCTTATGACGACTTTTGGAGATATGATACTATATTAGAGTTTTTAATTTGTAAGTTTGTTATACTAATTCATTTTTATATTTTCTTCGTTTTTTGATTATTTTAATATAGTCGTTATATATATTGTGGTTTAATCATTAATATATTGATCATATGTTATATTGGGTGATGTCGAAAATATTTAATTAAATATTTTAAATATGTTTTTTTTTGTTCTGT